AACATCCGTGCCCATCTTCCTCCACTTTATATGGGATGCAGCCACAGCATGGCTTAACAAGCGGTGCATCGGTGCACGCCCGGGATCTGAACCGGCAAACCCCGGGGCAGCCGCAGCAGAGTGCGCGCACTTAACCACTTGCGCCACCGGGCCGGCCCTGGAGCTATTTCTTAAATTTCCTTTTGGTAGCAGATATAGTAAATTCCCTTTTGATTTTGTCTTTGACTCAATGGTTTGTCCAAGAGTGTGTTATCCAATATTTGTGAATTTTCACAGTACTATTTGAGATAGATAGGCCTTTAGAGGGAGGTGTTATGATTTCTTGAATCGATGTCAGACTACTTTTAATGTTTGCTGCAGCTGAATGGAGGGGCAGCTATTTCAAAGTATCTAGAGCCCTCTGTTTCCGACTCCAAGTCAGCAAATTTCTAAGCGTTGTATGAATAAGGAAGCAAGCAGATCCGATAAATATGGGATGTTTGTGGTTGCTGTGGCTGACAGCATGTGCCCGTGACATGGGTTCTACCACAGCTTCTGTCCCCCTTTCAGCTCACAGCTCCTCCTGTTGCCTCAGGGAAATGTTCCAGAAGGGGACACGTGTGGATTTCTAAAGATGGTTCCAAGTAAGTAGGCACAGGGTAGGCTTGATGTGGGAAATGAACAGCTGGAAATGGCCTATGGATGGCAGTGAAAAGAAGTGATGCTGATGCACATGAGTGAGGACGTCCCAGGGCAGAACCCACTTGGGATACACTTTTATGTTTTAGAACCATAGTATTTCTAAAGATCTGTCAACAGAACCTGATTTAAACTCAATGACAGATTGTGGAAGCCCTTTCACTTCACTCCTCCTTATGAGTATGAGATGAGGGCAGGTGCAGCTCTAGAGCATGTTATTTTTCAATTAGGACAGGGTTAGAGGAAAGGCCTGTTGAGGACCAAGTCCTTCTTGCCCAGTCCTGCAATCTTCCTCAGAAGGATGCCACAGTGCTGGAAAGAAGAGCTGATAAATATCAAGGTTCAGGAGAGCCTACCATTCTCCTAGCATATGAAATCAATTATATTATTCATATTCTAATAATTATATATATAGCACATATATAAACATATATAAAACAGTTTACATGATTTATGAGTTTTCACAGATGTCTAACAATACTGGCAATCAAAAGATGAAAAGCATCCCATCACTCCAAAAGAACACTCCTGTGGTGCCTATTTGAACAAAACACATCCAATATGTAAGTTAACACTAAAAAAAAAAGGAAAATATTCAATTTCCTTTGCTGTATTAAACTTCAAAGCTGTTACTGCTGTTTCCCACTTTTCCACACCATGTGCTGGACGTGTAAGCATATGGAAATGAAACCTGTGAACAGCTTAATGGGCTCCCGGGCTTGGTGGATCATGGAAACTAGACTTCCAGCCACTCCTGTGATGAAAAGATGTTGAAAATTTCCCATTCTCCTTTTATACTCAATTAGGCTATTATTCAAAATAATATCTCTGCAGCTTCCCTCAATTATTCCTTAGATGATTACCTCTAAACGACACCCTCACTCACTCCTACCCTCACAGAAAAGATATGTACACACCTAAGCCTCCCTATTAGTTGGATGTTATGTTTTACTTTCCTTCAAAGCCCTTGTCTCTATCTTATAAACAAAGCTTTACTATTTGTCATCATCTCTCTTTTCCCACAAACATACAAGCACCAGGACTGCAAGAATTTCTTTGTTTCAAGCACTATATCCAAATACTAACATGCCTTGTTTCTGCTAAATTGGGTATAACATGGCATGTGAGGGATGTTGAAACATTAGCATCAAAAGCATAGTCTCTGAGAAAGAAAGGCTTGATTGGCACAGTGGTCCTGTCTCTCTCCCTTGCTAGGTTTATATGGTCTCACAATTTAACTAATCTCAAAGGTGTCCATTGAGTCATAAAGGAGATATTAAAAATATTATGTAGTATACTAAGAAGTGAATTTATATAATTTGACTGAGGTACTTCATGGTCAACAATGTATAATACACCACAGGAAATACATCAGTCTTTTGATAATAAGCAAGAAAGGCAAAAGCTGTCCCAGAGGACCACGAGCTGCCTGCAGTCATTGCAAGGCCAAGTCTCATCCTGCTGAAAAGAAAAATCTCACAAACCTCCTTCATCAAAAGTACAGAGTTACCAAGACAAAACTAAAAATATTCTGTAAGATAGCAGTACAAACAGCAAAAGATAAAATTCTAAATCATAAATATGACTAAGTTTCCCTTCTTCTTGCTAAAAAGACTGACTGGAACTTCTTAGAAAATAATTTTTGCTCCACTGCCTTGTTTTGCCTTCTAGAAAAGAATGATTATATTTATCAAGGACAAAACGCTTATGAAGATATAATTATGTTTACCTCCTCATAGCATTCAACAGGGAAAACAACCTTCCTCCTTGAATAGCAATCAAATCAACAACCACATGCCAACATCTTATAAGGAGGACTTCTGAGCACCCTGTCACTGTTATACCTCACAGTCCTTTATGGTCTGTGGTCAATCTTAGAATTTACTGCACCCCTCTCTTTGACTACAGCTGCAGTCTTGCAGGTCACTGGCAAGAGGGGCATTAAAAAACGTGATTTTTACATTTTGCGTTCAGGATAAATTAGAAATTAGTTTGACGACAAAAATAGTAACTATAAAAGAATAAAAATTAAAGTTTGCCTGAGGAAAAAAATACTTGAATTTGTATGCACATGGCAAAGTTGACTCATAATGTATAATGATTAAATGAAGAAAATTGCAAAGTATATCTGAAAATCCATAATTAAAATGAATTTTAATATATTCTGAGGAAATAAAACCACAATAATATTTATTAGCATACACTGGATTAGAACAGTTGATAAAATATATCAAGGAAACAACTACAGAAGTGTTCATTTCACAAGGAAACACACATAGTTTTAATGACATAGAAGCAAACATTATTGAAAACATATTGAGGGAATACACTCAGCTACCAGTAACAGAAAACACACAATCTTCCTGACATGAGAAAGGGGACTGTTCTCACATGGAAGAATTGGGTCATGGTGGCCAATGCAGAATGCAGCAGAGAAACAAACTCCCATGTCCTTCTGTTTATGCCCCAGGGCAGATGTCACAGTGAATCAGGAAACATGCTCACTAGCACTATTAACAGCATAAGGTGTTTCCTATACACATTAGACCTTATACATTTATCACCTAGGGAAGAGGAGAATCAGAGAATACTCCCAACCACAAAAGTCTGAATTAGTTTCCTGATGGACACAAGAGGCCTTACAGAAAAATCCTAACTCTAATGGATCTTTGATGTGAAACTTGTAGAAATATAAGTGAAAAAATACAACTCTAAGAAAATGGAAGTTCAAACAGTTGGTGGTGCTTTTCAAGATACTCTTGCCTAGAAGAGCAAAGAATTCAGAACATGGGATTAAGGATGGTGTCCTTGAAGCTCCCATGTAACAGTCTCTCTCCTTGTACTGTGGCTCCAAAATCTCACCAATGCCTTGTTTGCTTCTGCCTTCCAAATCTCATGCAAGTGACACTACTGGTGAATTCCAACATGGAAGTACAAAGGGGAGGGGATTCTTCAAGATCCAGTTCTTAATATTACCCAAATTGGCGTAACACAATACAAGTATTCTATATTTTGTTGCCCCATCACAGGCCTCTACTTAACTCAAAGTCTGTTCACCAAATACCAGTCAGAAGGAAGGACCAAATGTGAAAAGAAATTCACAGCAAAGTATAGCCTTTGACAAACTTGCCATTCATAAAACTTTATTCCAACTGTTCTATAGGGTGGAAAATGAAAACAGGCTCCTATATCCACCACCCCAAAAAGGAGCTTTCTCTAAGAGAGGTACAAAACACACAGTGGATAAGGCAAATCTGGGAACTGCAGTACATGGTGAGGAAGAAAATTCCAACAACTACCAACTGTCATTTTTCAATGGCCTTATAACAAAGAACAATTAAAACATTATAAAAAATTAAAGAGAAAATATGATGATGATGATGATGATTATTTTATTTTTAGAAAGATTGGCCTGTGCTAACATCTGTTGCCAACATTCCTCTTTTTTTTTTTCTTTTTTCTCCCCCACCCGATACATAGCTATGTATCATTGTTGTAGAGTTGTACCTCTTCACCATGGGATGCCGCCTCAGCATGGCTTGATGAGCGGTGAGTAGGTCTGCACCTGGGATCCAAACTGGCGAACCCTGGGTCACTGGGGTTCACTTCACTTCACACAAAGCAGAACATGTGAACTTAACCACTGCAACACTGGGCCGGCCCCAAGAAAAAATATCATTAACTGATTTAAAAAAAAGCACCACCTAATAATCTTTAAGCAGTATTGATGAAGGATGACACAGAATTACCTCACCTTAATATTCATTTCTGAAAGTTATTAATAGAAACCCACTGTGCAATGTTGTACTTTCAGTGGCTTGGTAAACACAATATATTTACAACTTTGATAACAACTCTTTCATGTTAAAGTTTTCTAGAACATTATACAGAAATTAATGTCCATCAAGTTTCCCATGTTACTTACATTTTATTTATATTTCTTTCTGGTTGGGAGTTTCACATGGAAGGATGTAGGCCAATGAAGTCTTTCCCATGCTGTTTACATTCAAGAGGTTTTTATCAAGTGAGTCCTTTCATGCCTTCAGAAAGAACTGGGATGACAAAAGCATTCCCACATTCTTTACCTTTACATGGTTTTTCCTCTAGTGTGCATTCTTGCATATTCTCAACAGTTTGCATCACAAATACAGGATTAACCACTTTCCTGACATTCATAGGGTTTCTCTCCAACGTGACTTCCTTCATGTCTTCGACTTCTTTCATGTCTTCGAAGTGATCTGAGAGAAGTGAATGCTTTACTGCATTTTTTACATTCATAGGGTTTCTCTCCAGTATGAATTCTTTCATGATCTTGAAGAGAACGGGAATAAGCAAATGCTTTACCGCAGTTTTTACATTCATAGGGTTTCTCTCCAGCATGAATTCTTTCATGTAATTTAAGATATCCGAGAAAAGTGAATGCTTTACCACATTGTTTACATTCATAGGGTCTCTCTCCAGTATGAATTCTTGCATGTCTTTGAACAGAATGGGAAGAAGTGAATGCTTTACTGCATTTTTTACATTCATAGGGTTTCTCTCCAGTGTGAGATCTTTCATGTCTTCGAAGAGAACTGGAAAAAGGGAATGCTTTACTGCATTTATTACATTCATAGGGTTTCTCTCCAGAATGATTTCTTTCATGATCGTGAAGAGAACTGGAAGAAATGAATGCTTTACTGCATTTTTTACATTCATAGGGTTTCTCTCCAGTGTGAGATCTTTCATGTCTTTGAAGAGAACTGGAAAAAGGGAATGCTTTACTGCATTTATTACATTCATAGGGTTTCTCTCCAGAATGAGTTCTTGCATGATCTCGAAGAAAACGGGAAGAAGTGAATGCTTTACTACATTTTTGACATTCATAGGGTTTCTCTCCAGTATGAATTATTTCATGTAATCGAAGATATCTGAGAAAAGCAAATGCTTTCCTGCATTTTTTACATTCATAGGGTTTCTCTCCAGTATGAATACTTGCATGTCTTTGAAGGGAAGTGGAAGAAGTGAATGCTTTACTGCATTTTTTACATTCATAGGGTTTCTCTCCAGCATGAATTCTTTCATGTAATTGAAGATATCTGAGAAAAGTGAATGCTTTACTGCATTTTTTACATTCATAGGGTTTCTCTTCAGCATGAATTCTTTCATGTCTTTGAAGAGAACTGGAAGAAGTGAATCTTTGACTGCATTTTTTACATTCATATGGTTTCTCTCCAGTATGAATTCTTTCATGTTCTCGAAGAGAACTGGAAGAAGTGAATGCTTTACTGCATTTATTACATTCATAGGGCTTCTCTCCAGTGTGAGTTCTTTCAAGTATTTGAAAGGAACTCCAAGAGGTGAATGCTTTACTGCTTTTTTTACATTCATGAGGTTTCTCTCCAGTATGAGTTCTTTCATGTGTTTGAAGAGCACTGGGAAAAGGGAAGGCTTTCCCACATTCCTTACATTTATATGGCTTCTCTCTGTAATTTTGATAGTCATATAGCTTGTGTTCAGTGTGACATCGAATGTGTGTTTTAAGAGATGAATGATGCAGGAAGACTTTTCCACATGAGCTGCTTTCACATGGTTTAGCTCCTGTAGTTTTGTTGTTCAGACTCAGATTTGGAGTAAGGCTGAATTTATCTCCATGTTGACTGTGCTCTAAACTTTCACAGAGTCTCCTTGCTATA